TTTACTTAAACCAATCAACCTCGCCAAAGCTGTGCAGCTTAAGAGAAAGTGCTGAGTTAACTTTGCCGCAGTAAGCATCTCGTGTCATATTAATACTTCCACCATAATTGAGAATTGCGGCTTTGTCAATCTAAGAAGGTGCTTTGACACCTGCGGTTTGAGAAACCGTGTAGTTGCTTTCGCACACCATTCCAGCATCCGCTGATCTGACATGAGTCCCATCTGTCCAAGAGCAGTGCGCATTTTAGCAAAGGTTACACCCTCACCCTCTTGTGCTTTTTAGACCGCCTTGAGCGTGCCTTTTCCTGCAGCGCAGTTTTCAGTAGTAACACCATGTCCTGATATCCATAAAACTGTAACAAGGAAATACCAAGACGCGACTAGCTTACTTACTAGCTTTGAACAAACCGCGGACGAGCTCAAATTTCTGATGGTCAATTGGCTATGAGAGTAGGTGTCTTCCTTCCTTACCGACGTCGCGTAGTCGTACATCCAATCGACTTCGTCCTCCATTGCGGCTATTTGTAATGGAAAATTGGTGTAGTATTCTTTAACCTCAAAGCTGTATAGAAGCCCTAATGCATCCTTCATTCGCGGAGGATATATTATACTTCCTAGTGAATAAGACGAGGTCCGCCATACTATGATTTATAGGCAAGTCCGTGATTCACTGACCACTTAGTCACCAGGTTCAAATACCTAACCAAAACTGGTTAAAACAAGGCAAGTCTATTATTTCTGCCACCAGTGTATAATACGTATAGTTTTATACTTTGGACACTTTGCTAAAATATATTAAGGTTTATTTGGTTGAAAGTCACTTACGCATTAGTATTGAAAATAAATAAAAATGTTTGAAAAAAGCGCGATATTATTAAATTTTTTTTTGCATTCTTTTGGCGTAAAACCTTTCGTGTGCCACAATGTCAGGTATCCAATCGGACGTTTGCCTACTTTGAGGCGTCTTATAAAAATTTATATTTTTAGAACCACTACATGCTTTCTTATTCAGCTTACGCAACAATCCAACACTGCATTCGTCCCACGTGTGCCATATCAATCGAAGTGGCAACACTAATTCCTTAACTGTCAATCATGCTGTCAATTTGGCAAAAACGGTACTGCTAAGGAAGTCACAATCGCAACACAAACATATCAAGTACGTGCGCGTGAATGTGTGGAAAAAAGAAAAAAGTTTACGTGTGTGTTGCGCAAATAACTACATACCAAATGCGCTGATCTATACCTGGCGGATGTGCTCATACAACTTATGTCAGTTGCACGTTGGTGCGTCTGTCAAATTTAATTTACCCTCAAAAATGTGCGTAGCTGCAGTGCGTGGAAGCAAAACAAAAGCAAGGCAAGACGAGTAGGTGCTATGTATAAAGGGAAAAAGTGTAAATGGAAGTAGAGATTCCATTCCATTTAAAAACTCTTTAAGAATGAGCATATCATTAAGGACGTAATAAGTTTGGTTGAATTCCATAAGTTTTTATTTTTGATATTATGGCGGCACTGGTAAACCCAGCCTAAGTTGGTTAGACCACTGTTTTTCATCAAACTCGACTAACGTTAGGCCTAGGAAACTTGTACCAAAATTGATGTTAGCTGAGTGGGTTTATGTGACCAGATGTCCAGACCTTACTGGCCCAGAGTAGCGCAAGTTTTCCATGGCAGCTGGGGCATTTATGTGGCGAGAATCACTGCAAGTAATGACGAGGAAACTCTGCCTTTAGCAAGTGTCTGCTTGGATGCTCCTTGCTTAGCATTATATACATAGGTTGTGCTGTCTGGAAGCATTGGGTCCTCACTATGCAGGCGCTGTTCAGGCGACATTAGAAGGCATTCTATCGTAGCTGTGCGGCTCTGTGACAATTGCTGTTGAGTGCGAGGAGAAGGAGGGCAAATATAAAAGATAACCCCAAGAATTTTCGGGTTATGTACCGTTTGTGCAGGTGGTAAAGGAGTCGCTGTTGATTTCGCCGAGGAGAAGGTTAGGCTTCGTCCAATGAATAAGTGAGAAATTTTGTACACAAGTCATTGATTCCATTGCCGGATGCTTATATCGAACAATCGGCAGAGTATGAGATCTGGGAAGCTCCACAAGTATTTTATCCTAAGTATTAGGTAGATTCATATGTTTCCGGGATGAGAGTTCCGTAAGTAATCTCAAGCTCATTAAGGCACTCGTATACAACCAAACTAAAGAGTTAACCGAAGCTCTTTGCCTAAGACAATAATCGTTCATACCATGTATCAAGTACAAACATGGCGCCCTTACTCTGGATGAACAGCATAACTAAAAAATTGGATAATGCGAGACGATTGGCTTGGGATTATTCTTTTTGTTTTATAGTTCATTCGTCCTTGAGTAGATATACCTAAGTACAAACCGTTTTTGGCCAAGGACTTAGCTGTGATTTTATTGCCAAAGATTCAATTCTTACTAATGAATATTTTGACAGATCTCGTTGAAAGTCAAAATCACTTGAAGTTTACAAAGTCACCAACACAGTCGTCGGCATATTATTGATGTTTTATTCATGACTAAGCTAATTAATTAGATGGTGCTTGTCTGACGCAGTCTGACGCCTAAGCGATTTTGGCTTAGTCATATTCGGTAGTCGTTTCTCTTCTATGGTAACTGATGTCAATTGGAAATGGCAGAGAAGGCTTTCCTCTTCTTATGCTACCACCACTGGGTTCTGCGTTTAATACCGCATGACTGAGGCTGCAAAGCCGCTAAATTTTAATTCTTTATATCCATGCCATCTTACAACTTGTTGTTCTATTGTCATCAGTACTCGCCAGCGTCAACGTGTAAAGATCATCATTTCTTTGATTGTTCCAAGGGTCCCCTCTTCAGATGTCATTGTCAATGCTTCTGTCCGTGCTGGTAGGACACGATGAGTAATTTATGCGGTGTAGTTTGGTACGATGGTAGAGACTTTACCTCTAATTTTGCAACTCAGTGCGACATATCACTTGGTGCAAGTGGGGTTCTGCATTGGATTTCGAGGCTGATATGATCGGTGTCAATAATGGTTTCCCAGAAAACATTGTCATCAACTTTTCGAAGCTATAACTTATACTTGGAGAAGGCAGAATAGACATTGCGTCGGTTAAGGCCGATGATATCGATGTCATCTACGCCGTTATACACAGCCGTATTAGTTTCGCGGGGATACCAACTTATTTAGACCTCGAGCCGTATAGGCAGTTCCTGCTCGTACTATCAAAAGCGACCTTGAAACTCAAAAAATAAATGGTGAGTGGCGATCTACTTCTTGCGGGTCTTTTTCGTATGGTGAATACCTGGGCTATGGTGAATTTTCCATAACTAAAGCCACACTAATACGGTCTAATCTGTTCGCTGACAATAGGCTGTAGCCTTGCACGCTCGATAAGACCTTCTAAACCATATAAAGAAGGCGCATGTAAGAGTGGCAATCTTCTTGAGGATTGGTTTCAGTGTCGTCAGGCATGCGCTCTTCCGACCATATCCTGCATAAGAGTTGATGCCTGCACCTTGTCAGCTTCTCGCCTGCGTATGTACTTTAATATTTAGCTCCTTTCTCACGTTCCCACGACATTCGTTCGTCTACATAACCAGAGCGAATCAGTCCCATATCTGGCCAAAACATCAAAAATTTTTGACCTTTCCGTATAATTTTTTTTTTTTTTTTAATTGGATTTTAGAAATGTGGGTCCAAGCCCGAATAAAAAAAATCATTGGGGTATGTTCATAGTCGACATAAAGTCGACTCTAAAGTGAGTTGCAGTTTCTTGCACATGTCAAAATACTGCTAAATTTAGAGTAAACTTTACTTTGACTATGAGTATGCCCCATTATTTTTGTCAGCCTATGGGAAAATTCGAAAAATTAAAAAAAAAAACCCCAACTAAGTAAAAGTAATATTTTTCCCTGTGACAAATTGCAGATTTTTAAGTTGGCACATTTTTTTTTTTGAGGTCATTAAATTCGATTCTGATAACAGAGTACTGAAATTCAAAACAGTTGTTAAAATATGGCAGATCCAAAATGGCGGATGCTTTCTTATCTTAAGCATTTTTGGAGATAAGCTGCCGCCACTTATTGAATTAGCCATTTTGAATTTCGCGATTCTACCATAAGAATTGAATTCAACGTTCCCAAAAATCTGTTTGCCACCTTTAAAATCTTTATTTTACAGATTTTCACCACAAAATATATTTATTTTTTTTTTTTTAATTCGGGCTTAGGTAAACTTTTCTAAAATCCGTTCCAAGAATTAAAAAAAAAAAATATTCATTTGGTAAAACATTTACTCTTCCAAAAATTTTTGAAGAAAATTAGACGAAAATTTCCCCTTGTGCGGTTAGACTAAATACCTCTTCCTTGCCCACGGAATTTTTCACTTTACGAGGAAAAAAAATCGGAATCTCCTATCTTTAAGGAATTTTTTGAAGTTAAGCTCACAGTTTGTTCACCAAAAAATTCTCTTCTTAGTGCACTGGACACAATACTATGCTCCAAAATACTTCAAAGCTATCGCAACAAGTACTAAACGTAGGTGGAACTCAAAAACACACGTAGCTACTCGAATCGCGTTGTATATTTTTGGCTCCAAAAATGATCCACCTTCATCAGTATACTTGTACGGTTGGTTGTGATTTCCATATTCCATCGAAAAAGATGCACGAAAAATTTGTAGACACAGTCGTGTGTATGACGGGGTCTGCTGATATGTCAGCAACACTAGCCAGCCACTGACAGCTAACAACAAATTTTTACAACTTTTTATAAAAGATTTGTACAAATTACTTTATGTATATATTTGCATGTAAATTTGTAATTTCCCTATCATAATGCATTGAATTTTTATGCAAATTTTACTGGACAAAAAAAAATTCAACAGTTTTATTTTCCTTCTCTCTTCTCTGCGCTTTTAATTTTGTGTGTTTCTGATATTTCTTGTGTTTTTTGGCATTTTTGCTCACATTTTTATTTCTGCTTACAGGTAGTTCCGGCTATAAATCATCAGATAAAGACAGGTAAGCTTCCAGCGTAACACACTTTTTTTTTATAAATACACCTGTATATACATATGTTTGTGCTTTTGCGAATAGCTGCATGTGCACTCGCATCCTTTCATCCGTTGCTGCTATGCCATTTTGTTGCAACAGCTGCAATTTGAAATTTACTTAGTGTTTACACAACAGCTACAATGCTTTGGGATAAATTGTTATACATATGTGTGTTAAGGCGGGTCAATTTGTATGGGAGATTTATTTTAAACTATGCGCGCATATGTAGCACAGTAGGATTCTACGTATAATTCTTAACAAATTTGCCGCAGAAACTAGGAGGTAAATCAATTTGGACTTTGCCAAATTGCGAAAATAGGTTGCTTAGCATTTTGCTGTAGGGTCGTAAAAAAAGGTGCTTAAATTTTGTATAAAAATATGCTGTAAGAGCTCTTTTGGTATGAGGAATCCATTTCTGCACTTAGCTTTTTCTTAAAACCTCCACCAGATGGCGCAACGGTGAAAATTTTCATATTTTGTTAGAAACTTAGACAAAAAAAATGACATGCCCTAATGTGTGTATGTAGTTATAGTTATGTGCATGAACACGTTGCAAAAATCTACTCATATGGTCTCCAAAAACTGTAGTAGAAAATATTAGATATTCACAACAAAGTACATATCGTGCCATTTTTGCTTTGACCACTTAAATATATCTATGCAATACACTTAGAATTATTTTACAAATTTTGCGAAACTATTTTGTTTCATTAGGACCTAACATGAGGCATTCAGGGCCAAAGTAGCCCTACTGACATTTCAAACAAAGTTCTAGTATCAAAACGGTAATAGCCCGAGGCACGCCCTTTCAGTTTTCTTTCACTATAATATGCAGGATAGGAAAAGTAGCGTGATGCAGGGAAGATACCGGTATTAACAAGTAAGCAAAAAACAACAGCAAAAAACAAAAGTGACTTTAATTCTCATATAAAACTTTAAGATTATCGATAATTTCTTTATGATCCAATGATCGTATTTAAACCAAATTAATATGGGACCACCTATGAGGTAACACCTTTGCTTTAAAAACAATTATAGAAATCGGTTAACGTGTTCCAAAGTTATGTGGTAACACACATAAAAAAAAAATAAAAATAAATAAATAATTCCGAAAAACTGATAGCCTTCTCCATTTTGTGAAGTCGGTTAAAAATTGCCTAAATTTCTGATTCACTAGCTTAAGAGGCCTTTTTTGGTAGAAACTTCCTACTAATAATAGCAGTTTGCGAACGGGCAAACGGGCTCCCTGCCTTTGTTCCCAAACTGGGCAGCTTACTGGTCACAATCAACTATTATTTCAGATGTACCGAATGTGTGTGATCTTTAGAAACAGGTGGCGTGCTTTAATGGACTCGTCCGAAATTGGTTACAGTGCCAATCCAGAATAACACTTTGGAACATATTCTTTGTTATTGTTCGGCCTTGGCCAGCCAAAACTTACTTTATTTAAAAGCTCCTATGACCGAATACTTTGTAATACATAAGTTATTTAACTACCATGTCGCTTTCAGGATTCATTTAGGAGCCGAAAGTATCTTGAGATTTTTGGATTAGGGTCTCTTTTTAAAAGGACAAATATACTCCAGGTCGCAGTGTCTATTGTTCGGCTACACCCAAGTACTACTAAAAAAACTAAGTAAGTTCATAGTACTAAGCGAAGCCAAGTTTCGTACCACCAGCAATACAGTTACACCTAGGTGAAAAACGCCATTCTGATACTATAATATGGACTATTTTGTTGAGGGAGCCATTGGTATACAAGCCTTATCCTCTTATCTCGCCTAAACGCTCCCTGTATCTATTTGCGACACTTCAAGCTTTTAGGTGGACAGCAATAGGGGCTGGTGGTGGTGGTTTGATCACCGCTTTGGCAGACAGCCTAGTTGAGCAAGTGAATCTAGCGGCCCTAAGCAGACGATTCATCATTACCGAGGTTCCCTGGATAGTCAACCAACTGTCAGCGGGAATTTTCGGACGATTCCACCGTGTATCTAACTGTTACCACTATCGTTTTGATCGCCAGCTCACTCGGCTGTCTCTGTCCCCATTTTTGTGGTGCGCCAAGCTGCCAGCGCGCTAGTATATAAAGCGGTGTGTCGACTTTAAAACATTGAAATACAGTATTTCTTTCGACGGTGGATTAACTGAGTGTTACCGAACAGCCTTTGACCAAACACTCGTGAAAGTCTTGCTGCTTCAGTAATGCATTTAAGGCATCAGTAAGTGTAGAGAAAAGGGCTCGCTTATCGAGCGATTCGTGCTTCTTCGTATCCTTTGCAAACTTGATACTACACCAAGACTTCACAGAGTTGGAAAACTGAAAGTTTGTTGTTGTTAAACTCTATCGAAGGCTTTCGAAAGAGCTATATAAAAACAATCGACATAATTGCCAGATAGCAAAGTAGTCCTCAGTAAAAACAGCAAAATTTGTCACGACTTAGCCTCAATCATTTCAGATTTTCACTACGCATCTGCTAGTAATCCAATTTAGGATTGATTGAAGTGATTTACTTAATTTTGCCAAATTTCTTCAAGCGGTTATATGGCAATCAGTCACCTACGTGAATGTATCTTTTCAACCTCTGGCAAATATTAGAGAATATTTATTGATTGCAAAATTTCTTCTGCGTCAAGAATGCAATGCCAACAAAACATTTACATACATACATATGTATGTATGTAGTATGCTCGTATGTAGAATAAAATATTTCCCATTCATTACAATTATCCCTGGGCATACAATGCTTATATTTAGGTATGTTTTAAAAGTAGATATATGTATGTACATATGTGAACCAAAATCCTACGCCACAATCACCTAAGGTAAAATCCATTTTCGACTTCAAACAAATCTAATGAATTTAGCACACTGATTATGATGCTTTCCGAATTATTTATGTACTCATACAAATTTTGACATATAAATAAATGCTCTTTAACTCTGTGTATCTGTAAATTACTTGATACAGATTTAGGTATGTATTAGGGTGGTCATTAGCATCATGGGGTACACCTTTATTTTGTTCTACGCACAAAATATAGGCATCCAAGTACATTTCGAAATTTACAAAAAAATAGGAGTCGCTGCCACCATTTGAAAAAAAAAATTTACTGTTTTAAATCGCAAAATTTCGATCAAAGTTTTGATTTGGACCAGCAAGTTTATGTATTTATATGAATAAGTTTCAATAATATATCAAATTTATATAATTTCAAGTCAATATTTTGTCGAATTTTTCCGATTACATTTTTTTTTTGTTTTTAAACCCTGGTAGCGGCGACTCCTAAAGATTTGTTTAAAATTTTGAAATTTTCTTGTGTGTCTTTATTTTTTACACAGGACAAAATAAAGGGTTGTCCCATACAAAATTTAGCTTTTTTTATTTGTTTTAAGGACCACCCTAATATGTATGTATGTGTGGTAGTATGTAACTCTGGTCTTGTTATGTAAGGCTCAACTTATTGGAATTTCAATCAGAACACAATCATTACGAAAATTGTTATTACGAATCTATATAATACAACAACAACTGATTATTTGGTCATACATAGTAACCAATCTGCTTTTGGTAAATAATCAAACTCATGTATATATATACAGGTGAACACACACACATACTTGCATAGGTATATCCATATGTAGGACCTAAGGTTAAATTTCGGCAATGTAGACACTTTTGTCATTTACGCCACAACCGTTACACTCATTTGCAATTCAATTTATTCTGAGATATTGCATTGTTCGGTTTCTATAGTTGCGACACTTTTGTTATTGACACTTTTTGTGTTAACATGTTGTCTGGAAGCTTTTTGACTTAGTTTGCTAATTAGATCAGAGCTTACCTTTTGTGATAACAAAACATATATTATTTAAATGGGTAATTTCCAAACACAGTGTACATGGCAATTATTTTTTATATATTTTTTAAGATTGGTAAATTTCTTTTAGTAATGCACGTTTATTAAGGATTAACAATAGATAAAATGTCTTGCAATATTTAATTGGATAATCAGGAAACATAGATAAGTTAGTATGCAAGTGGCGGATTAATGAAAGGATGTACATACAATACGTTTTTTGTAAATATATTTCAAGGCTTGACGGGAAAAGAGTTGCAGATTTTTTAAAATACCACTCGGATATGTACGTATGTATGTATTTTATGGCTAAACAATTTGCTCTATCGATCTTCTTGTCCCTAACACCCCGTTGTGACACTTAGCCTTCAAATGTAAGTTCATACCACGCTAATGTACCACCCTAATGTTAGAAAATTAAAACTCATAAAAAAAACATTCCATTTTTGATAAGGCAATATATTTATTACTCTAGTAGAATAAAAAAAAAATTTTTTTTTTTTTTTTCTGAATTTCGTGAAAAACTCCTTCTCTCACTTTAAAGTCCAATTTCGAGCCGCCTTTGAAGATGTCAGTACTATTACGTGCAATGCAGGAACTATATCCCGACTCCTTCTTTCTTTGAATATCTGGAGCACCTTGATCTGTACAATCCTCCCAGTGAAATATCTGTCTTAACCGAAGACTGGCAGAGATTGGGAACTCTTGTTTTAGTGCATCATTTGGCGTTGGTCATTGGAGGATTTGTGGATTAAGGAACCGAAACAATTCTCACCTCCATCTTCTTCTTTTTTATTGGCGCTAAAACCGCCTAAGCGATTTTTCTGTGCCAACTGACGCCAATTGGAAATGCCAAATGAAGCCAAGTCCTTCTCCACCTGGTCTTTCCAACGCAGAGGAGGCCTTCCTCTTCCTCTGTTATCAGCATCTCGACCCGCGTTGAATACTTTCGGAGCTGGAGCGTTTCTATACATTCTACACGAACGACGGCTCATCGTTATATCGTCTGCGGCATTCGCCATTGTGAACGCGCAAAGGCCCATAAATCTTGCGCAGAATCTTTCTCTCAAAAACTCCAAGAACTGCTTCATCAGATGTCCATGCATCCGCGCCACACACCACCACAGCCATGATGTAAATAAATTTAAAACAAGCCTTGAAAGTAGCCTAATTAATTGTAAGCCTCCAAATTCAAGAACTGGTTATAGCCGTGATATTGAAAATAAAATGGGTGAAAAGTAAGAATTCGTCATTTCGAATTTAAGATGTTTTTTCGTAAAATTCGTTTCTATTTCTCTATATCGGCCGCTAAATTAAAAGCATTCACCTACCTACATACATATGTATAGGGTGAAGGGTCACACTGAATAGAGCAAAAATCAGAGCAAAAACTCGGTCAAACGCATAAAGAGCGTATGTGAGCGTGAAATATTTATGAGCTCTTTTTTAAATGCGCTAATACAGCGATGGACAGAGGGAGCTTTTACTCAGAACGCGCCTATACAAATTGTATAAAAAGCTTAAAAGAGCTTTGCCCGCGGGCAAGGCAGCGCCCATAACCGCTTTAGTACCATCTTTGTTCTATCCCGTCCAATTGAATTATTTGTATGTATTGTTCATTCTTTAAAGTTTTTCTTACTTAGGACCACATGACCCGTTTTCGATATTTTTTTTATCGGAAAGATAGTACTTCAGGGGTGGTCCCATACTAACTTGGTTTAGTTCCGCTGAAAGGCTCACGAAGAAAATAACGGTACTCCTTATATTGTATATGAGCATTAAAGTCGGTTGTGCCTTTTTGTTTACAAATTACTTGTTTCGTATTTTTTCGTACCACACTGCAGCTTAAATAAAAGCTCTTAAGCTCTTCCCCATTACATTTTTTCCCCTTATTTCATTGTGTTGCCAATTGTCGGCTAAAGTTTTTGTCATCAAGTCTTGCGATTTGCGCGCATTTGGCTTGAGGGTTGACTGCATTAACCAACACACACACACACACACACACACGCACACAATTCGCAACCAAACTAATCAACGTTTTTTTAATCTTCTTATTCTCTTTCTTTTCTATTTTCTTTCATACGTTCACGTCTTCGTTTTCGTGTGTCTTCGCATCACGTACGTGGCTGTGGCGTTGTAGTGAAAAAGCGGATTTGAAATCACGTTCGGACAGTACTAGTGGGCCACAGGGTGATTCCATTTATACCACGCCAGCTGGCTTTCATCATCATCAGCAGCAACAACAACAACAACAGCAGCAACATCACCACCACCAACAACAACAACAACAACAAGGCCAACAACAGCAACCGCATCATCATTTGCAATCCGCACACGGATCACCGGAAGCAATGAAGGTACGCATGGCTGCAATGATATTACAGCCGCCAACTAGGGTCTAGCAGGCAATTAATAATAATAATAATATGAATAATATAAATCATGCGAATCATAATAATAATATAAATAATGGTAGTAATGATGCCACGAATGCCACTACACCAACAACTACAATAACATTACCAACAACTACTACTACTCCAACAACTATTAGTTTAATAACAATAGCTACAGCCACAACAGCAACAACAACAACCATGACAAATAATATAGGTAGCGTTAGTAGTAACAACAACACTTTACATAATAATAACAAGAATAACAATAACAATCAGACTACATTGCAAACAAATAACACAACGCCAAATACATTAACCACCCCAGCCGCGCCTGATGCTGCAGCTGCCGTGAACCTAGACGGGAAAGTGATTGCGAGCGCAGCGGACACGGGCGCGGTAAACAAACCGGACGCACACGTAGCGGACAGCGATGCAAATGACAGCAGCGAAAGCGCCGCCAATGACACAGACAGTGACAACAACACCGACAATGATAACAATGATGTGGACAATTGTGACAAATTTATGACCAAAGGCAACAGCAAACCCAAACTGAAAGGCGGCTGTCAAAACGTTGACGCGAACAGAGATAAAGACTTGAGCGAAAGCGCTAATAAGGAGAAAACCAAAACCCATGCAACAAGCACAAAAACTAACGCTATAAGGCAACACTGCCAACAGCAACAACAACAGACTGCTACAACAAAAACTGCAACAAGTATGACAGTAGCGCAGAGTAGCAGCGCGCCACATGAACAAAATGAAACGAATAGCAAAAGCACCAACGAGTCGATTAGCGACAGCAGCAACAATAAAAATAAATGCAAAAGTAACAGCACTAGCACCAGCATCGGTGATGGTAGTAACGGTAGTGGTAACGGTAAGGCCTACTCCAATTACACGCCCGAACACAATCTGACAAATAATATAGACTATAACAAATATAACGCAAGCGGTAAACAGCTACATTTAAACATAACCGAACCGCATACGCACACAATCACCGACGATAAGCTGCTCAATACGCGCACACATCAAAAGTTGCGTCATAGTCAGCGTCGTTTGCGCACCAAAGCGCTGCTCGACAGTCTGCCACAAAGACTGCGTACGCTTGCGGGCACTGAGCAAAGGGTGGAGGCGACAAATTCCGCCATCACCTGCGATGAACTGCTTGCGGGTAGCAGTGAATTGTTGCAAAAGATGAGCATCAATAATCCTTTTTACCGCTTTCGCAAGCAATCCACCTCACTGAAAGAGATGCGCGCTGAGGCGTGTGCCGAGCGCAGCTTACGCAAAGCACGCTCTGATACAGATATATTTAGCTGGCAACTGACGAACGAAAATCAGGCGCCGAAGAGTGAGGGTATGACAAGTGTGGTGCATGAGCGCTTTGCGCGCGCAATGTTTGGCGGCATGGGTAACGGACGGGCGCGCATGGGTAGGGGCGCACTGTATAATGCGCCACAAAAGCATGGTGAAACTGCTGTACAGCTGACTGCAATAGATGGTAGTGTTGTAGTTGTATTAGATAGTAAGCATCCTAGTGTAGTAAGTAAGCCTAAATCTTTGAGTAGTCTTGAAGAGTTGCTCGATGCAAGCATTGCGAATGATGGCCATGGCTCACGCGGTTTTATGCTGGACGCTGTCGCCGCCGAACGCGCATTTGCCGACACAACCACTGAAACGGATAGCAGCACCGTCATCACTAATCCCTTCTCCATCTTTCATGACGACGATGTGCTTATGCTGAACGTGGACGCGCGTCTACGCGCAGCCTCAAGCGCTTCACAACAACAGAGATCATTGAAAAAGCGTCAGCGCTCTGAGCGATCTATACGGCGTCTATGCGATGCTGGCATTGATGCAGCGAGCACTAAGCGCGCGCCAGTCAATTATCAAACGGGTATAAGTGCGCGTCAACATTACTTGAATGGCATACCCGTAAGTCGCTTTGAGCGGCAAGACTTTGTTAGCACCGCTGCTGCCATGACTTTGAGGGAGGCAACAAAATCGCACAAACTCAAACCGAAACTCGTCTTCAAGAATCTCTCGCTGCGCAAGATACACAAGTCAGCAAGCGGTTTGCCGGCAACTTCGCACACCATCACAACTAACACCTCTGATGCTGTTGGAAATTTGAACGCACTACCGCAAATGAAGAAGCTCAAAATAAGCTATCCAAATCGCACGCAAAGCATACATAGCGCGCTCGATGTCAGTTCAAGCGCGCAACTCAGCGTTGGGCTTGTGAGTCCAGGTGGCGCTAGCGGCGCGACAAAGCATTCCTATTTCGAACGCTTGCAAGCGAAAACGCGTCAGGGTCTGCAGAAGCTACGCGATAAATGCCGCAACTTCAAACAAGCCGCTGGGCACCATCAACACACCGGCACCAGCAGGGGTTTCAGCACGCTGGCCAAGGATGACAGCTTTCGCTTTATAGGCGATCGTGCGCGCATCAGCAGCTATGAATCCAAATGCGCCGCACTTAATGGCAGCAATGGTCGCCAACAGGCCACCATCTACAAGAGTTACAAGTCTGAAATAGATCTTTCGAAGAATCTACATTACTTGGACGCCTATTTGGAGGAGAATTTCGACCAACAGCTACGCAGCACCAAGCAATCGGCAAATTCAGTGGGACGTGTGAGCGCCAGCCGCTTGCAGCGACAAAAGCTGTTGGATGGCGGCGAGACGCAGCAAAGCGGCGAGTTGCCAAAATATGCAAAGGTGCAGGGGGGACGCGCACATAAGCGTAGTTTCTCGGCGGCACAGAAACAGACGACAATCACCGAGCAGCGAGCTGCCGCGCTAGCAACAACCACCAACAACTACGAGAATGTCGGCACGCTGCCAATAGCAAGACGCGGCTGCTCAGACTCACTCAGCAGCTCAGACTACGCCTCGGTCTTCAGCGGGCCTACGCTGGCAGTCGAGCCGGCCACGCCCAGTTCAGTTGGAGCAACTGAGACGATCACACCCTCACTGATGGATGATGCAAGTAGCAGCGCTGGCTTGCGTTACGAGCATCCAAAGATGTCACAGTATTTCTTCAACAAACTCGATTTAGAAGGCTCGGCAGATCTCTTGCTGGCGGCGCAGGCTGGGCATGGCAGCATTGAGGCAGCTAGCGGCTTCTTCAACACCTGCAGCGAAGATGATTTGGTTGATGAAGACAGCGAGTTCGGTGAGGCAGGTGGCGGTGGGGGCGCTGGTGGCGATGCGGCATTGCTGGTTGATTACAGACGCGCCGCCAATATGGATGATGGCATACGCATACTTGTCAACGAAGTGGAAGACACAGATTTTCAGCAAGAACTCGAACGTCAGCTGGCGTCAACGAAGCAGCGGCGCACGACGAACGCAACGACTGATTGGTATCAACAGCAACATCCACCAAATCTAGATAGCACTGATGAGCGCAATTTCCTTCTGGGGTATAATGAGAATTTAGCCGAAAGCCATTTCTATCGTTCACTCAATCAGCATTTGCAGCAGCAACAGAAGCAACGACAAAGGGATTTGTATTTTGATGTCAACGCCGATTTAGATGAGCATGACGACGACGATGAGGAAGAAAATGGCATTGGCGCGGCCATAGCAAATGGGTTGGTGAGCGAGGGCGACGCTGATAAGGATATTCATTACGAAAGCTACTTAGAACATTTTTATCGCGCGAGGAGTGGCCACCAGACGCGCAAAGCGAACTCTATCGGCTATGATGACGAACGTGTCGAGGATGATGCTGAAGGTGGTTACGTTACACGTAGCGCGTTCAGGCGCACAGCGCGCGGCAGGAAGGCGGGCGGAAGCGCATTTGAATTACGCCACAGTGCATTGCTGCTACTTGGCGAACATTTAAACAAGAATACGGATCGTAATAAGGAGGCAGTAGATATGGCCTCCGACAATAGTCGCGCCGCTTATTACGCGCGACAATTTTACGGTTTTGGCGGTGACATAGACGTGATTGCAGCAGAGGAAGCCGGCACGAGTGGCGCGGATGTTGATAGGATTAAACTGCCAGCATCAACAAATAAATTGCCAGCGCTCACGCCTCTGAGTGGTAATTTAGCGGTGAAAGGCAGACAACATGATACAACAGCGGCGTTTGCACGGGAACCAAGCGAACGCTTCAAAGCTACAACGCAATCGAGAGTTGATGCTACAGCAAATTTGCTGGCTACAACAACAGGCACAAACATCGCGCCAGACGAATTCAACACCGCATACCAGTCCTCGCCAGCAGAAGCAGCTTTATTGAGAGAGAAATTCGCCATACCAAGCACACACTACATGTCTACAAGCACCAAAGATAACATTGACGCGGCGCGTGTTTACAATGAAGGCGCAACAAAAAATTACACAGCTGCGCTAACAACGATTTCCGCGCGCCACCTTCCAGTAGCCGCAACAACACCAACAAATTTGCTACACCAAACCAGTGGTAATGCAAGAGCAAGCGCTTATTTGCAACAGCAGCAGCGTGACCGACAGCAGCACCAACAACAACTTCAGTTGACACCAGCACCAGCTGCGTCTAGCGCCGCCTTGTTTATTGAGGGTAGCAAACATAGCGGAAAATCCGGGCATCACATGGAGGCGTTGTCCAGCAGCGCGAATAATCGTTACATGTTGGACAACATGCGTCGACATTACCAACAACAACAAAAACAGCATCAACAACAAAAATCCACAAACTCCGTCAGTTCGTCGCTCTCGCTATCGACTTCTTCCTCGTCCAATTCGTCCGTCTCACAGCCGGTCGCCTATAACCAGCAACAGCCATTGCTACTGCCCACCAATACAGCAAATACGCATACGAAATACATACAACCGCAACAACAGCAACTACCACCACTTGCCACCTATCATACGCGTCGCAGTTCAACTGCCTCAAACGCTTCATCCTCCGACAATTTCGACTCGTTCATTGCAGTGCGTAGCGCACAAACTCCAAGTGGTGGCGCAGAGCTGGCTTCACCGGTGGCCATTGCTGCCCTGCAGCCTGATTATGCTGTTAGTACAAAACTTTCGAGTAGCAACAACAGCGCTGGCGTATACCAACAACGTCAACAATTGCTCGCAAACGCACACACGCGCGCACAGACGGCGGCGCATTATCCCACCTCGCCGTCAAGCGGCGGTAGTAGCAGCACTGTGCCACTCATTAACGCGCTCAACTATTATGGCACAGGTGGTGGTGGTGGCAGCGGAATATCCGATAGCGCACACCCCACCTACGCCTCATCAACAGCTTCGGCATCGGCATCGGCATCCGCATCTTCATCCTCATCCTCTTCGTCGACTAATCATCGATATGCGCTGACCGCAAATGCTTCTGCGGTCGCTAGTAATAACTACGCATTGCTCGCGCAAATGCATTACGGCAATAAAGGAAGCGGTACAAATTCGGTTGCGATAGCGGCTGATGCAGCTAAAGCGGATAGCGCTAATCCATTAATATCACCGTCATATGCCAGCGAGCGTAAGCCATTCATACTCGAATATGAGTGTTAGCGCAGAATTGTGGGAACGATGCGCGCAGTGGGCGGACGGTGAGCGTTTGGGAATAATGTGAGTGGTGAGAGTGAGTTGTAGAGTGTAGCTGGGGAGGGGAAGAGAGAGCAGCAATTTATATAGCGGATCAGTAACATTCCCAAAAACGTAGAGGGATTTTTTTGCAAAACGAGTTGCTATTAAGTTTTTTTGCGATGCTATTCGAAGTCATGTCAGGAATGGCAGTTATTTTTTCACCACACCAACTAAAAATTTCCTGCAGCAAGAACCGCTGTTCGATATTTTCGTATTAATGTGTAATACCTTTTGCTTGCGTAAATAAATACAGTTCATAGTGAACATAATGGTACATTCCCACTGTAGAAATTGTGATTATCATGACAGTTGTCTTTATGGTGAGTTTTTTCTTGACATGAGAATACGTTTCCATATACGTTTGATATACGTTGAATATACGTTTCCATAACAATTTACAGCCATGGAATGCTTTCCCTATCAAAAAATTGTATACAAGTAAATTTTCCCAACTTTTCTGGCAATGTGTGGATTTCGCATGACAAAGTATCAAACCAATTTTCGATAACTACAATTGAAGTGAAGCGTACTGCCGCAGGGGCGTTGTGCATTGACCGAAGCAAGAAGTAGTTTGACGGTGCAAAGTCCGGTCTATAAGGCGGGTGGGTGGGCTAGGACTTCCCATCGAGTACCATCGTGATGGTGTAATATCAATGACTCTAGTCTGGTTGCCCATTTTGGCCGTTCGTCCGCAATCGCTCCCTTCAATCTCATCAGTTGTTGTCTGCAGAGAGCGCCGACGTACATAGTGGCCACTTTCCCTGACACGGGTTCGCTGTGCCGCTTTGGATTGTCATACTGATTTACTATTGAAGGAGTATTTGGGAAACAGAGACAAGCCGTGCAAACTCTTTGTTTGAGTTCGTTACGCATACAATTACTTGCTTTCTGGACCATACCAATGGCTTCCAATCGTAATGATTTTTCTTGGTGAGTCACACCGAATATTCACGCAAATTCTTCTTGTGTTTGTTTTTGAAACGTCGCAGCCAGTACTCACTGCTTATAATAGCACTTTTCTCCTTCAGGGAGAAGGCAAATACCAACGCGTATGACATATCTGACATAGTGGTCGCACGAAAAAAATATATTGTTTAAACTTTGATTAATTGACAGATACTGCAAGATGTGGTAAAATCTGAAGTTGGCTGCAACATTTTCCGATATGCTGAAACACTATAGGTGGCCAGCCACTAAACACTACAGCGTTTTTAACTCACCATTTGAGGTGAACAGTACCCTAGAGCAAAAACAGGAAAATGCTTGTCTATGTAGAATATGCTTATCTCAGTAGCCGCATTATTCCCATGCCAATGACACAAATCATCGCATATCGATTATTTTAAATAATGCGCCTAAAAGTGTGCACGAAAAACTTGGCTTCAAGCGGTCTAAAAATTACAATTTCTTATGTTATTGTTATGACATATTGGGAACGTTACAACGATGAAACAGTGCGTCGATTTGGCGTCAAGGTTTTTATGCGGAGTAATTAAATCATTTGGTATACGATGAGTTTTGTCTTTGGCGTGGATATAGGGCGGCAGATCTTTGTATTTATAATGACAGTTGCCAATGTTAAAGCTTGGGAATTTCACTGTGCCTACCAAACTATGACAGCCGGTATTATCGTTGCAGTTGTCATTGTGATGGGTTTCCATGTGAGCACGCTGTCAATTAAAAAATAAATTTACTAGTAAATACTCCTTAAGAAATTTTGTAATATTATTCCTGATTACGAATGCTCCTCGAAATACATTTTACTTTCGGGTATTGAGCACAGTAATCTTAAAATAATTTTTATATGATGTCAAACAATGTCGAATTCTATAATTTTTTTACTACTCGAGCACAATTACTCCAATTGCTTTGGTCTCTAACCTGTCTATTATCTACTACTTAGCACCTTTTTTCTCAGCTCTGCCGCAGTTTTACCCAAATCAGCTCACTTTCTCTTACGCTCGCCTTCGTTTTCTTTACAACTCACATTTTCGAACGCTCTTCGCCGCTTTCTCTACATAGCACTCTGCGAATGAAAATTGCGCACAACGATTTTCGAGTTTAATGAAATTTCTATCACAACCGGGGTAAAAAATATAATATAAAAAAATTATCAAAATTGTTAACAGTCTTTAAGGAAATATTATTAATAACAATGAAATAAGAATTAATTAATATATCATGCTTAAATCAAAGCTGCCAAGATGCGTGGAATTGTAATCCGTTCAAAAAAAAAAACAAGTGAGAAATAAGTAAAATCAAAAAGTACTTAACAACTTTTTTTAATAAAATAATTTCTTAGTACTGGCAAGTATGTGAACATTTGCAGCTCATACTTAAAGCGCTGAAAGTATGTTGTCACTTTTTTAAAAAACCGCCTAAAATTTTATTCTAAAAATTTAAAAAATTTTAAATCCGAGTTTAAAAAACTTTTCAGTTCATTCAAAATCCTTAACACCTCTGCATACTCGTATTAACTGGAGATGCCAAAGCAAATTTTCATAATCAATCCCGAAATTATGCTAAAAAAATTTTAAGCTTTAAATGGATATTCGAAAATAATCTCTGTGAATAACGTACATAAGTACATATGTCAGAATATTGCAATTTTAAGGTCGAAGATGTGCAAAATAAATTCATTAGCATGCGCTACAAATATTAGGGGTATTCTCGAAGTATTGCACGATGCACGTATTGCACGAAATGCAAAAATACTATCCCAAATTTCGAAGAGTACGAGAGCACCCCATTGCAAAGTGGTAGAATGCATGCGTAGCAAGCAGCGAAATTATGTATCAAATACAATAACAAGAGACAGCAGAAAAAAATGAAGTGAGCGAGATGAGAGGAATGAGAGAAATATGTAGCAATTCCAACAACAAAACAACTAGCACAGGGTCGCATATATCTTGCTATGCTATTTTGCAAAATATATACATGGGTTTCGACGTTGCATATTTTGCAGCGATAGGAAATGTCGTTTCCCATGTATTTTGTTGTTGTGTGTTTGCAAGTTATGCAATCCATGCAATCCGTGCTACGTGCAATGGCTTTGCAAGATTTGGAGAATACCCCTATTGTTTCTCCAAAGACGTTGCATAATTTTAGGCAACATTTTCGAATAATGGCTATATTCCGACGCTAAAGCCGGACTCACCAAAATGATAATCGTCGGTGCCATAAATTATGCCGCGCAAAAAAATATTTTGATATCAAGGACATTGAATGTTTTTTATGTACTTTTAAGAAATTAAAATATGATTTTTGCCGCATTTTTGTTGGCGTCATAATTATGGAAATTGTCACTTCGGTGAATTTTGCCATTACATGCCAATAAAGTTGTAAAATTTAACAACTACCTGAAACCGTATTTGACAAATTTCATTCTTAATTTCATTTAAAAGAATTTTATATACTGAAAATCTAATTAAACATAATAAACGCATATACCTACATATATATTAGGGGGTCCTTAAAATATTAATCATGCTACACCCCCTTTATTTTGTTATATGTATTTTGTTATATGTATGCAGTTAAAAAAAAAAAAATAAATTTATTTTAAGCCCTGGTGGCAACCCTTAAATCTTTCTTTCAAATTTTGAAATTTTTGTGGATGCCCTTATTTTCTTATACGTAGATAGTATGTACAAAAAACATCCACATTTAGATTTTAAACCAAGTTTTAGGGGTGGTCACCAGGGTTTGGAAAAAAATTTCTTTTTTCAATTGCAAAAATTCAACAAAATTTATGTGAATAAGTTTCAATACGCTGAGTTATAGCTGGTCAAAATACAAATTTTTTAGAAAAAATTTTTGCGATTTAAAAATAAATTAAATTTTTTTGATTACCCAGTTTTTGTAAACAAAATCAAATTCTTATGGATAGTTTTATTATGTACGTATAACAAAGTAAAGGGGCCCATTCAAAATTCAGATATTGCTATTTTTAAGGGCCACACTCATGTGTAGCAAAAACATATTTGCGGCCCTATCTTCTCCAAACGATAAATGTCGTTCACTATTTTACCTAAAAATATAATATTTAATGTGGTTTTATTCATAAATTTTTGAATACATATAATTTTTTTGCGACATATTTTTAGGCGAATTAATTATTGTAGTAGTTATTTCGTCCAACTTTGTCAACTCGTGGGAAAATTACTCTTAAACCGTTTTTTTTTGTTCTTAGGGCAAAATGTTGAAATTGCGGGGCAATCATGCCTTGCAATATTTATTGTTTTCAATGGAGCTTCTTTTTAAGTTAGACAAATTTTTTGCATATTTTTTAATTTGTGAGCTCCCGAAATTTGGGGGAAAAAACTGAAAAAAAAAACCATTTCTAGCATTATTTGTTTCTTATTTTCAGCTAAATATCTTCAACTCTCGAAATATTTCAATTCTTAAGCGAAGTTTCCAGCTTACAAAAAGATCACAGATCAAATCAAATATTTTCATTAATTTTGTTGCTAGAAAAACTGCATGTTGTTATCATTGCTAAAAACTTTCTTGAAGAAATAATTATACGCGCATTTGGTTCTCGAGAGCTGCAAACTGATTTAAGATATTTTGATAGAGCAAAATTTACTTTTCTTTCAATTTTTTTGTTTTTCTTGTGAGCTGGATACTTTGCTTTAAAAACGTTTCATCAATATCCAGCTATTTGGCGGCTAGCATGACTTTATTAATCCCGAAATTTCACAAACTTAGTCTTTGTGTGCTATAAAACTCCGACATCGCGGGACTGGCATTTTTGGTTTTTCCTTTTCAGCTAAGTTTTGGAAAGTGCAAACACAAAATACATATACTGGGTTTGACGCTATTAATTTATAGAAGTTTCGGGGTTCTTATGCCTTGTGTAATTTTTTAAACCATAAAATTAACTAAAATACTTTTTTATGCCGAGATCTGGAAATTTCGGATTTAACAGCAATCAACATCCCGAAATTTCGGGTTTCGTATGCCTTACGTAATTTACAATGTGAAATTTACCTTCTAAAATTAGCAAATGAAATTGAATACATTTTTCTTCGCGAGAACCCCAAATTTCGGGAGATTAACAACCGCAGTTGCATGCTTCATTTCTACAGTGATTTCATTTTAAAAATCATCAAAACTTAATTGAAAGTTTTTGACTACTATGATTCCGAAATTTTTGGGTCTGCATTTCTTTTTGGGTATATTTTCGAAGCTATTTTTCCGTTTTAGGGATTTTAATCACACATAAAAACCATTTTGGTTCTATGCTATAAAAATCCCGACATTTCGGGCTTGGCATCTCCAGTTCATCATCTTTTCCTATTTTATTTTCATTTCATTTGTTAAAATTACTAAAGCTATCATGCATTCCACTGGACATTGAATGACAAGCAATTTATTGCCAAAATTTGAGAAAATTTCGATTTTTAAATGGCACCCATTTTTTGTCATTTTCATGCTAAGTGGAAATTCAGCATAATCGCAACGTGGAATTATAAAAAGTCAGAAAAAATGTTCAAACGAGGTTTTTCTTCTCGCGCTATCAATTAGCTAAAGTCTTCTAGGTACTTACATACATGACATACTTTCTACAACTTAAAAAGCCTTATGCCGAATTTCCACTAGGCCATGAAATGACAAAAAAATGGTGCCATTTAAAAAATGCCCCATGGAAATGAATTTAATGGCTATTTTTCAACGTAATGACACGAATATTTTTTAATGCCCAATTTTGTTATTACCATTTTTGCCATTTAATGCCTAGTGTAAATCCAGCATTATGCCGAATTTCCATAAGCATTATGAGCTCATTTCCACACCGATTTTTTTTTTTTCAATGGCACTGTTTATCATTTCTATGCCGCATGCAAATGTGGCATTAGCATTGAGTGGTATGTATTTTTTTG